TAAACTTATACGCGTACACATTGTATGTACAATAACTGTATTACTAAACAACTTACCCCAATGCCAGTAGGGAATTGGCTTCCAACGTTTCACCTTAACCAAGTCACCAGGACGGATATCATGGCAAGACATCAACAGCTTGGAAAACAATTCCTCCATGCGACTGCACTACTTATGCCGTTGCTAGAGAGACGCCTATAGTACCTAAGATTAGAAATTAAATATTACTGGGTTTTTTTTTCTTTTATTTATTTCAATTCCAAATAACATACAAAAACAAACAAAACAACGCCGACTCAGGGGCAACATTACAATAGATCAATTAGATTAATTAATAAAAGAATTTAAGCAGAACAAGACCATAGCCAATTACCAATAAGGCCTTTGACCTCGGTAAAACTTAAAGAATCTTTTCCCATTTCTTTAAATGCAGCTTATATTTGTTGTTATTTTTGGCAACTATAGCTTCAATCCTTTCCGTATATTTTACTACATTCATAAATGCTTTTATGCTTGGTACCGTATATCTTTTTGAATTTTACATCTAAAAATATAAAATTTTGCCAGAAGTAACACATTATTGACAATATAATTACTATTATTGACTCCAAAGAATATACATTTTTTTTAGAAACAGTTGGAATATATATGCTTCCTGTTGCAGAAACGTGGCAGTGTTCGAGAGGGTTTTGAGTAAAGGGGGCTTCGATAAGAATGGAAGAGAAGCCTATATATTTTCGAGAGGTTTTTCAGTAAATGGGCGTTAGATCGTTTGCAAAATGAATATTTAAATGGGACCGGTCTATACTAAAATAAACGTGCTTTTGTTATAAAGGAAAAATCAACCTAGCTTGTCGAGAATTTTGTGTTATGGCATAGGGAGGGGGAAGCAAGATTTGATATAAGGTGAGAGTGCAAGGCGATAAAAGAAAATGTTTGGGGAGGAGAAAAATAATTAGAAGTGAAGCGTCAAGTAAGAACCGTATCCCGAACGGGGTAGGGGTTTTTACGGTCAGTTTAGCTTAGGTGCTCAAATGTGGGTTGATGACGAAGGTTCCGAAAATCAAGAACTCGTAAGCTATTAGCTATTAGCGGCAAAATGTATTTATTTTATTGAAGCATTACTGTCACTATGAATTAATTGAAAGATGGAAAAATATGGAAAGTATTGTATGTTCATTTCTGTTAAATGATAAAAACTAACCAGCAACATTTAACATTATTATAGAAAAGGAGGCTAATCTTACTATTAATGAATGGCGTTCCGTCCGGCTCCGCTGGCTAAACGTCTTCTTTAAACGACTGACCGTTGGATTGGTTACGAGTAAAATGGCGAAGAATGCTGCGCAGCACCCGCGTCCCAAGCCATAGATAGCAGAATACGGAATCCTCCTTTTCGGTTCAAACTGGGGTTACTAATTTACTGGATGAATGATAACATTCACAAAAAAATGAATCCTACATTAAAATAGACCAATATCAATATACAAACATTTCAGTTGCTATGATAGTTTGTGAACACAAATTCTGATTGACGATAACATTCCTACGTGTGTTTACATAAAACACTACAGCTGTTCTTATATAAGGTAAGATAAGATTATTTATATTGGTCCAAAAAGTGTTTTGGAAATTGCTTTACATCTCGAACACTGCCACGATAATCGATAAGTTTACAACAAACCTGAAGAGTTCGTGACTGTAGTTCAAATCATAGGCCTAACATCTCACAACCTCTAATCCATGATCAGTATATCCAAATCACTAATGATCGAATTAGATTTTAAGGTAAGGTAAAACTTTATTCATCCATACAGTATGGAATTTAAAAGTAGTTCGCTATGATTACAAAAAAAAGAAAAAAAAATTTTTTCATAAAATTTCGTATAAGAATTAAAATATTAGAATTACATATAAATTTATCAAAAATTAATCATCCTTTAAAGTTTGATTTATGATATTTAATAGCCGTCAGAATAGCTAATCGAGAGCTCGAGTCCACCGACTGCTGACTCGAACTGATCATCCTCTCAGCTGAGCTCTTCTTATAAAACTATCTAGCCAGGGCCGACAGCTTGTACGGACCCCTCAAATTACCAAAGGCCAACATATTGCAGGGTATAGGAAATTCGAAAATTACCCCCACACCCACTTTTTTGTTTAAAAAAGAAAAGAAATTTACATTTAACTTTATGTCTGAGAGTGCCATTTCAGGTCATCTAGAGGTGCCATAATCATAAATTTTCTTACCTCATCCCAACCATGGTGGGGCTGAGGTGTTATGGACTCTCAATCTGTAAAAGTCTTTCCCTTGCCTCCTCTATATCAACTTCCTAGATCCGCCACTGACAGTGGGTAATTCAAGAAGCCCAGTCGTCCGCCCGCCTCCTCAATTTTTCCAAATTAAAAAAGAAAATAATATTTAAATTGTATGAGAGTGCGATTTCCGGCCATTTGAAAGTTCCTTAATCGTAAATTTTACGTTGATATGAAAGTGCATTTCGTTGATATATTACTTGTTAGAATAAGGTGGGAAAATGCAATTTAACAGTTAACAGGTGAATAAACGTATTGTCCTATTCGTTGCATATAGATAGTTGTTTCAAGTATAACTGTAACTGTAACTGGGTAATTCAAGAAGCCCAGTCGTCCGCCCGCCTCCTCAATTTTTCCAAATTAAAAAAGAAAATAATATTCAAATTGTATGAGAGTGCGATTTCCGGCCATTTGAAAGTTCCTTAATCGTAAATTTTACGTTGACATGAAAGTGCATTTCGCTAATATATTACTTGTTAGAATAAGGTGGGAAAACGCAATTTAACAGTTAACAGGTGAATAAACATATTGTCCTATTTGTTGCATATAGATAGTTGTTTCAAGTATAACTGTAAAAACGGAACTTTACAATATTGGAGTTCATTTAAAACAAGTAACGAGCAGAATACATTAACAGTGCAGGGAATCAGTATTTATTGTTTGTACAACTCGATTTTATTTTTGTGTTTACATTTTCAAGTACAGTACAGTACTGTACACAGAGTAGATAAATGCAATAGATAGAAGAAACCAAATATTAAAAACGAATACTGTAAACAGTTTCCCATCGTTATACAGAAGCGATACAAAAACAACATAATGCTACAAAAATAATACCGTAATTATTATTGTGTGAAAAATAATCTATAATACTGCACTATTTTAAAATCTTTATTACTGCAAGTGAAATTGAAACCAAATGAAGAACAATCCAGCAAGTCAGCACCCATCTTAAAAAGCGCAATGACGCTTGGGGGGCAGAAATTGTTCAATAATTAGCCCTATTAGATATTTGGAAGCGAGTTAAGGTTAGGAAACTAACAATACAATTACAATACAATTATACCTTGCATAGAGTGCACTCGCTTGGATAACACAGGAAGTATCAATATGAATCAATGCTCTTTAAAAGCCAAGTACTCACTGTGCCTGACGGTCGTCCGCCGACGCGATCCTATGGAAAAGGCAACGCCACGACGCATGCGCAATGGACGATGTTTAATGACGATCCCTCACCATTCGTCAAACGCTCAAGGGAGCGGATTTCGATTCGTCGTACGACGATACGACCGTCGTACGACGCAATGAGTGCCCGGCTTATAAAGCCTGGGTTAAATATATTTGTGAGTCTAACACTGGATCTACTATAACTTTTCTTTTTCATTCTATTTCATAAATAAAATATAAGAAGATGCATGGTCCCATGCAAAAAAAACATAAATAAATCACAAAAATCAGTTTTAAAATTAACTTGCCTAACTTTAAAGTAACATAAAAATATCAACTTGATCATAGAAATTAGTGTATGTTTAGCCATAATTTTACTGCAAAATTAGAAACACTTCCAGTCACTTTTATTATAATTTTCCAGTTTAAAAATCTGGGTACACATTTTTATAATTTAATGATTTCTATGTTCAAATTAGTAAATTGTATGTTACTGAAAATTAAAGGAATAAAAAAATCAAGGATTAATTTTTATTGTTGGCAGTACAACAGGACACAGTCAAAATTTGGACCAGGTGCTTAATAAACAGTGTGTTACATATACAGAGATTAAAAATATATTTATAGTGTTAAAACACTGACATTAAACTACAATATATCCAACAAAACAAAAAGAGTATTGTATAAATATTATAGATAAAACAATTTATAAATACCTAAAAACACTTCAATATTAAGAGAAGGATACTGCAAACACAAATACTGAATTATACTGTATTAAAGACTTGGCAGGAGGACTTTACTGATGAATACAATTACCGGTACTATCTGATAAAATTATGATTAAAAACGAAAATGGAGTAATAAACAAATTAGTTCCTATATCTATTGGTTCTGCAATTAAAGCCTGGTTTTCATAAAAAATTGCTACCAGTACACAGTATCCTTGACTCCTATTTTTATGTGACTATTTTTTAACTTACTGATGTCTGTTTTTTTTTTTTAGCTTCTCTTTTTTATATCCATATTTATACACTTATTTTATTGTTAATCCATACTGTTAGTGGCGGGTTACCCGCTGTTGGGTGTGATTTGAAATAATATAAAAATAATAAAAGCATGGTCCTACAATAATTATTCTTTCTTCAACACTTTTTCTTTACTAAGCTCTGGGTATTATTAACTAACATACACCTAATGCACTGTGTAACATCACTATGATGTAATACAGAAAACCTTTTTCAAAATCTTCTTTGCCACATATATAATTTTTTTTATTTGTTTACAAATAAAAAACAACAATAAAGAAAGTAAAAAAACACCCAACTATTCAAGCTCATTTCCCAAGTGGAATTAAACATAATTGACAAAATTGTAACAATATATTACATAAGAATACAAAATAACATAAATTTAAATAAGTATTGTACATCATATACAAATGATGAAATGTAGGCCTATTATTGTACTTTATCAATTTCAAAAAGGTGGGAAAATAATTATCCTACAAACATAATTTTTATTATTATTATTATTTTTATTATTATTATTATTATTATTATTATTATTATTATTATTATTATTATTATTATTATTATTATTATTATTATTATTATTATTATTATTATTATTATTATTATTCTGTAGGCCTACATGTACATACACTTTTTGGTATAGGTTGTTGTCTTAACAGGATTAAGGCCTGAGTTTTCTCTTATCTTCTTTGTCGCCTGAAAAAATAGCTCTAAGTATGGTGGCTCCTAAGGCAACTGCGCTTCCAATGGCTGCCCACTTGGCCACTTCTTGCACTTGCTTACTCTCCGCCTCGCCGTGGCACCAACGTGCGAAATGCTCGCAGTTGTTGGTGACGAGATCATATGCGCGATTTCTGAAAAAATTCCCTTCAGCACTTTTTGCGAGTCTGACAACTTCTTCACGGTCGACGTTAGAGGGGCACGGGACATACTCCCATTGGTCAGAACCATCTAGAAATTCCTTCCAGGTCACCCGGTGGACATTCGCTTCACTTTTAGCTTGGAGATTAAACTCTGCTCCAGAGAGGTGGATAACCTCACCATTACCAATATACACTCCTACAAAATAATAAGAACATGACGATAATATCATTGTTAATAATTAATATGATGATGATGATGATGATGATGATGATGATGATGATGATGATGATGATGATGACGACGATAGTGTTTGAAAAAAAAATCATTGGACTTACGATGCATTGGTATTTCGGTTTAATTCAATTATATAGAATATGAATATAATTGGTCGTAGTATTTAATGTAACTGTGACATTTGCATTGGGAACAATGTATACAGTTATAATTTTGCATACAATATGTATAGGCATATATCAGTGCATAATGTAGCAGACAAAAATACAGTAATGCATCTAACAAAAAAAAATACTATTAATGAATGAAAAACATGTTTAAATATGTCATCATAGGAGTGCTTATGATACTACCGGTTTATATACTACCGGACAAATGTATGGCGAACAATCAAATACAATAAGGTAAGTCATATATATATTAAAGCTGAATACTGTGGTAAAAAATTAGAATGAAAAGGTTATATTGTAATGAGTTTTGTCAAGTGAAGGATTTCTCCAATCAATGTGAAGGGCTTCTTTAATTTTAAGTTGGTATTGTGTGAAGAATCAAACTGCAACAGTCTAAATTTTAGATGTTTTTTTGCATGTAACCTAGATTTCAAGTTGTTGAAAATGTGTGTAGAAACCTACAAATATATATATATATATATATATATATATATATAAATTATAAATTAAAGGTTTTGCTGCAAAACATTCTTCTTCCTATATAACAAGATGGGCATAAAAGGTTTTGCTGCAAAACATTCTTCTTCCTATATAACAAGATGGGCATAAAAATATCAAAGTGGCATGTACCGTACGTATCTCTATTTACCTAATTTACCAGGACAACACAAGGTTGGTTTGGTCAGTGAAGGTTGCTGTTGATCTCCACTCTACCAAACGTCTTTTCTCTCCTCACACAGCAGACTGATTCTATTTTCATAATAAAAATATCCAAATTCTCCATTGAAAATTGGTAATTTCCAAATTCAGCCCAGACTTAAATTTAACTTCTGACGTCATGTATCACGCTTTTGGCAGATTGATGATTGAGGGCGTCTGGCAGATAGCGTTCATTCATTCATTCATTATTCAGCCAATGAAATAACATACAATACAATGAAAGGAAATTTAACAAAACTAAGACAATATATTAGCAGCATACACATACTCTATGGCCTAGGTATTCAACCTTTTTAAGTTGGGGGCCAGTTCCAATCTGTTGAGACCAGCGGCTTGCCGGCATAAAATGCGTACTTCCATTTTGTTCTGTCACCCATTTCTTATTTATAGCGGTGGATTCGAAATAGAAGGGGCAGGGAAGAACATTCATATAATAGGGGGAAAATACCACATCAGCCCCACCATGGGGCTGAGGTAAAAAAATATGATTATGGCACCTTTAGATGGTAGGGAATGGCATTCTCAGACTTAATTTGAATATGATCATTTTCTTTTCTTTTCAATTTTATTTTAGAATTTAAAAAAAAAATGCATTCCGGGTTCTACCCAGCCACTAGAAATTTTCCTCCCACAAAAATATCTATTCACCAGTGGTTGGGGTTGAGTTGAGCAAATTTTTAACATAGATACCTCTAGATTCCTGGAAATGGCACTTTCAGACTCAAAAATAAGTTTTTAAAGCAGTTTTTTCAACAAAATAACATCCCCCGAGCCTTGCTTTTACAGCAAATGGTTAGACATCGCGTCATATCAGCGCCCCACTTAATCCATTATCTCCATTAGTCTACCTAGTGGCTAGTAGAGTATATTGACATGGAGAGAGGGGAGGCTATTAGGAAATAATGGATTAAGTGGGGTCGCTGATATGATGCGATGTATAACCATTTGCGGCGCCAGCAGGCTCGGGTGTGTTATTCTGTTAAAAACACTGCTTTGAAGACTTATATTTACAGTCAGGAAGTGCCATTTTCAGGAATCTAGAGATGTCAATTTGTTTACCTCATCCCCGGCACAACCACTGCTGACTCGAACCGATCGTCCTCTCAGCTCTTCTTATAAAACGAGCCTATCCCTATATTCCTACCCAAGACAATCAGACAGTAGGTGCCTAATTCCATACCCCACATGACATGTACAAAAATAGAAAGGAAGTTCATAACGCACAATAAAAAGATACCTGTTCAACGGCAGTATTTGCTATATTAGGCCAAAAAAAAAATATTCTGTTGGCCACCCCCGACCGAAATTAAGGGTCGGCATTTTAGTTTCTTTTTTTTAAAAATATTTTTGACAACGAACAATATTTTTTTATGAGCAAATAGGGCTGGAATAGGCTTGGTGAGGCTAGGGGGCCAAGCCTAGCCTATTTTGCTGGATGGTAGTCTTCCTACCGACCTACCCATTTTTTGGATTTTCTCAAAACGTGGCCAACACTATTTTATTTATTTTTTTTTGCCTTACAGTAAGTTTTAATTCTTTTTTGTTTTTACGAAAATCTTGCTTTTCTGACATTAAATTGTCGTTGGCAAATTTAACAACCCGACATGGCATACAGGAAGGTCGATAATCTGGTGTCTGTTCAGGGTGTAAATAAAAACGGAGCTACCGTGCTCTTAAGTGCAAACACTGTATTAGTAACAATGACGTCAGATTGTGTAAAATCAATCAATGTTATGCACTGTAAATATGATCTGTGGGTTATGGAACATCCCTGCTTTGAAATTATAAGAGGAGCCTGACTTTAAGATTGTTGGCATTTTCAGTAGACTCATTGGTAAACTACTAAATTTAATGAAGTTGTGTGCATGGATGGCTCCAGGATTTCGCCGACGGGGGTCGGATGGGGGTGGTGTGCGACTCCCCGACGCGAACGTAAGTGGGCGTGGTCGGATGTCACTCAAACTCTCTAGAAATTGATGGCAAGTTATGGGTTTGCATAAGCATAATATTTAATCGATTTCATAACCCTGTTTTTATTATCCTCAAAATTAAGCAAATGGACATACAATTTTTTAGATTTAGAGTTTATGCCCAACAGGGAAATGTGGAACTCACCTCCGACATTTAGTCTCTCTTTAAACCTACTTTTTTTTTTACTTTTTGTTTTTCAAAAGAGGCTTTTCAAAATTCAAAGCAGTGAATACAGGCCAAGATAAACCGTTCATTTATATAAAGTAGTGATAAAGTGCATTTCGTTGATATATTACATGATAGAATAAGGAGGGAAAATACAGTTTATCTGTATAATAAGAAGTATTGTCCTATTCGTTGCCTATAGAAGTTTCAAGTATAACTGTAAAAACCGAACTTTACAATATTGGAGTTCATTTAAAACAAGTAACGAGCAGAATACTATTAACAGTGCAGGGAATCAATATTTATTTTTTGTACAACTCGGTTTTATTTTTGTGTTTACATTTTCAAGTACAGTACACAGAGTAGATAAATGCAAGACAGATGAAACCAAATATTAAAAACTAATACTGTAAACAGTTTCCCGTCGTCATACAGAAGCGGTACAAAAACAATAATTCTACAAAAATAATAATTATTATTATTGTTAAAAATAATATATAATACTGCACTATAATACTGCACTATTTTAAAATCTTAATTACTGCAAGTGAAATTTAAACCAAATGAAGAACAATCCAGCAAGTCAGCACCCATCTTAACAAGCGAAATGACGCTTGGAGGGCAGAAATTGTTCCATAATTAGGCCTATTAGATATTTGGAGGCGAGTTAAGGTGTTAGGAAACTTAGGTATTTTAATACCGAGTACTCACTGTGCCTGACGGTCATCGGTCGACGCGATCCTATGGAAAAGGCAACGCCACGACGCACGCGCAACGGAGAATGTGTAATGACGATTCGTCACTATTCGTCAAACGCTCACAGGGAGCGGATTTCGATTCGTCGTACGACGATTATACGACCGTCGTACGACGCAATGAGTGCCCGGTTTTATAAAGCCCGGGTTGAATATATTTGTGAGTCTAACACTGGATCTACTATAACTTTTTTCATTCTATTTTATAAATAAAATATGATCAAGATGCACTGTGAAATTAACTTGCCGACTTTAAAGTAACATAAAAATTATCAACTTGATCATAGAAATTAGTGTATTAAAAAAAAAAACACTTTCAGTCACTTTTATTATAATTTTCGATTTTAAAAATCTGGGTACACATTTATATAATTCAATGATTTCTATGCTCAAGTTAGTAAATTGTTTGTTACTGAAAATTAAAGGAATAAAAAAATCAAGGATTAATTTTTATTGTTGACAGTACAACAGGATACAGTCAAAATTTGGACAAGGTGCTTAAAAGGTGTGTTACATATACAGAGATTAGAAATATGTTTATATTGTTAAAATACTGACATTAAACTACAATACTGTATATCCAACAAAACAAAAAGAGTAAGTACCTGTACTCTTTTTATAGATAAAGCCATTTATAAATACCTAAAAACACTTCAATATTAAGAGAAGGATACTCTAAACACAAATATTGAATATACTGTATTAAAGAGTTGACAGGAGGACTTTTCAGATGAATTACCGGTAGTATCTGATAAAATTATGTTTAAAAACGAAAACGGAGTAATAAACAAATTAGTTCCTGCATCTATTGGTTGTGCAATTAAACCCTGGTTTTCCATAAAGAATCGCTACATGGTATCCCTGACTCCTTTGGCGAAACTGATAGGTCAGTTGAATCGGGGGAGTTCCCAATTGCAACAGGAACAGCTATGCACGGCACAGATTGCAGTGAAAGCACCGTAGCGACGGAAACCAGGTTTAAATGGTTAGAGTTGTTCTTATGATAGTTTGAGTGTAAAGGATGCGAAGCATCGCTAATGATCTTATCTAATTTACGGAGTACTGTTTGATTGATGTTCATCAATATTAATATTTACATCATCCATAATTATTCTTTTAGCAGTTTTCAAAAATCTTAATCTTTGGCTTATTACAGAGTGTTAGACATGAGTACCAAACAGCAAAGTCATTAATAAGTACACTTTTTAAGATAACTTCTTAAAAAAACATGTAGATTTGAGTTTACATTAAATGATTTAAGTCTCCTTTAAAAAATAAAATCTGACATATATAGGCACGTTTGGGTATTATTGACCATGCCTACGGATAGTACTCCATTAAATTTTTTAAAGTACAAATATATACTTTTTAAAATCTTCTTTGCCACATATATTTTTTTATTTGTTCACCAAAATGAAAAAAGGAAGTAAACAACAACCTCTCCAGGCTCATTTTTGAAATGGAATTATATAGAATATTGCCAACACGAAAATAAATAATACATCAAATACAAAGCATGAAATGTATTATTGTACTTTGGAGTTTCAAAAAGGTGGGAAAATAATTATTCTAAATTAAAACATAATTATTATTGTACTGTATACTTTTCTGTATCGATAGGCTGTCAAGATTAGTAAGGCCTTTCTTTCCTCTTTTCTTCTTTGTCTTCTGAAAGTATAGCTCCAAGTATGCCGGCTCCTACAACAGCAACAGCGCCACCAAAGACCGCCCACTTAGTCGCAGTTTGCACTTGCTTACTCTCCGCTTCACCGTGGCACCAACGTGCGAAATGCTCGCAGTTGTTACTAATGAGATCATATGGCCGATTTCTAAAATAACCCCCTTCAGCACTCTTTGCACGTCTTACAACTTCTGCACGGTCGATGTTTGAGGGGCACGGAACATAGTCCCATTCGACAGATCCACCTAGAAATTCCTTCCAGGTCACCCGGTGGACATTTGCTGAACTTTTTGCTTTGAGATCAAACTCAGCTCCAGAGAGGTGGATGACCTCACCATTACCAATATACACTCCTACAAAATAATAAAAACATGACAATAATCAATAATAATGATTAATAGATGATGATGACAATGATAATGTTTTAACATAGGACTTCTGATAGTCATTTGTATTTTAGTTTACTTCAATAAAAATATTGAAAATGAATATCAATGCTCCTCATACTTAACTGGGACATTTTATTTGGGAATATATATATATATATATATATATATATATATATATATATATATTTTGAAGAGTTTAACGTTGATAAAGATAGCAGGAGCTATCGAAATATCTGTTTGATTTTGTTATAGCTTAATAAATTTGTGTTCCGCAAGTCAACTTTCAATGATTGTACACTGTTTTTTCATTGTTTTTACATTTTATATATGTGTGTGTGTAAATATAGACATTGATATGATATCTATATCAGTGGCATACTGTAGTGGAGAAAAAAATACAGTAATGCATCTAATAAAATAAATGATATTATTAATGAATGACCAACATTTTTCCACAATTCACAAGTCACCATGCAACTACCGGTTAATATATTACTGTACTACGGGTCAGATGTACATTATGGCAAACAAGCAACTACAATAAAGTAAGTTATGTATTTATTAAAGCTGTATACCGTGGTAAGTCACAGTGGTGGATTTAGAGGGGGGCGTAAGGGGCGTACGCCCCCTCTATTTTTTGGAAAAAAGGAATTGTGTAAAGTTTATCAGAAAATTACCAAGGTAAATAGTAAAAATCAATCAAATATAACAACTAATTAAAAAAGGTTCACATCCACGCCCCTCTTTATTGCAAGGCTGGATCCACCCCTGAAGTCAAGTATATACAGTAAGAATTACTGTAGATTAAAAGAGTGATATTGTAATGTGTTGTTTGTTAAGTGAAAAATTTCCCAATCAATGTGAAGGCTTAATAAATTTTAAGTTGGTATGTAAATATTGTGTGCAGAATCAAGAACCATCTGAATTATATGTGCTTTTGCATGTAACTGAGATTTGAAGTTGTTGAAAATGTGAGCGGACTTGCCCAAACCGACAAATATATATATTTATATAAACACAATATATTGATTAAAAGGCAAAATACTAAAAAACAGTGCTGTGGGCAGGGCCGCCAAGGGTGCTGTCGGCCAGACCGCCAAGGGTGCTGTTGGCCGGACCGCCAAGGGTGCTGTGGGCTGGGCCACCAAGGGTGGCTGTGGGCCCTGGGGAAGCTTTGCTGGGGGCCCATTGGCTGGAGGTCAAGGAGGGACACCTAGGGCCCAAGTGGAGTCCAGGGCAGAGCTACGGCCTTTTAACGGATTTGTCTAACTTAATAAATTATAGAGTGTTTAATTTCACAAGTTCATGAACAATAAGGTAGGGCATAGAAACATGAAAAGTAAAAGCTACTGTATCTTTCCTTTTATTCAAACGTACTGTAAAGCTCAAAAGATTCATAACAAATTAAAGTTTAATATATCAAATCTGTATTTATTTCGACAATCAAAGCTCTATCAGGTCTATTCTAATTTGTATGTATGCGTCATTATGATACTGGATCCAGAATACCTATAATAATTTTTATTTATTTGATTCTGTTTTACCTAGCAGCGCTGGCCCATGTCGGGGCCCCAGGGCACCTTGCCCTGTCTGCCCCGGCCTCATGGCCCCACTAGATGTGGCTAACAATGGCTGGATCATGGTAGATATAAATTTGGTGCAACAGATAAAAAGTAAACAGCCAGAAATAAAACCAGAGCTTCGGACAATGCTAGTCTGTCCTCAGTGGCGAGTGAGTGAGGGTTGAAAAATCCAGATAGTATAAATAAATATACATTCTTTACTTACCCCAGTGCCAGTAAGGAACTGGATCCCAACGTTTTACTTGAACCAGGTCACCTGCTCGGAGTTTGTAAGACATCCTTTAGTTTAGGGCTTATTACTACTCTATAGTAGTACTCAGATGATGATGTTGTTGGACAGACGCCTATATAGTATCTAATATTAGAAAATAAAGGTTTTTGCTATGAAATATTCTTACTATATAAAAAAAAAATTGGGCATAAAAATCACAGGGAGAAAAAAAAAACCAATAGGTGATCTGTACGTATCTCTATTTTACCAGGGAGTTGTTGTGGCACTATAACAACTCCCTGATTTTACCTACCTAACCTCACCGTCTTTTATCACCAGGACCATGCACAGCAGGGAGGAATGGTAGGTTTGCCTGTCTGGTCCTATCTTCGGTAGGCTACCACTATCTTTTTAGGCCTATAGAATGCCGAAAAGATATACAGACAGCCTAGTAAGGCTACTGTTGACCCACTCTACAAAACACTCTGTCTCTCCTCACACAGCAAACTGATTCTAGGTTCATTATGGAAAATCCAAACCTTATTATCCATAACTCGTAATTTCCTAGTTGCTAAATTTAGCCCACACTTAAATTTAACTTCTGACGTCATGTATCGGGCTTAGACAGATTGATGATTGAGGGCGTCCGGCAGAGCGTCAGCACATAGCCATAAGAGTTTGGACATTGAGAATTTAGAAGCCATTTTGTGTCATACGCGATGCGCGTTCTGTGACTAACGTGATGTGCGTTCCTGTGTATAATATTGTATAATAACAGTTAGCGGCCTCCTGTATAGTTTAATTTCATTTAATCTTTTTAGCAGTCGAATTTCATGTAACTATTTATAGATTTTTTTAAATTATTTCACTACAGTACTTTATATCCAATTTCATATTATAAAATAATACTGTAACAATTTACTATTTTTAAGCAGTTCTTTAATCCTCGCCGATTGACCGAGAGAGCCCCTCGATGGCAAGCATTCTTTAATTAGGCAATCCATAAGTACCGTAGCTCCTATTATTTTTGCAAATAAATGATATGTGACGACCAGCAAAAATTTATTAAATACGTATATCAAAATGTAATTTAAATCCGTCTTAGCGTATATAGATTGTTGCTCTTTAAATTTGAATATGACCGAGCCCTATACAAATCTTATGTTATTAATTTGATTATTATTATTATTTATAAATATTAAAATAGTATAGGTCAGTTGGCCGCAATATATAAACTGTGCTTTGCTGTAAATGTTATAAATTGTAAGTGTTAAATGATATACAGGATCTGTGATATATTCAACATATTATATATATATATTGTGTAATTATGTAACGTACATTTTATTGTATTAAAAGTCACGCCTCTATTTTAATATTGTATTATGGCTGTACAGTATGTTACTTTTATAAACACACTGCGAGAGTGTTTCCGCTGTTTTAAAAGCGTCATTTCCAAAATAAAGTTATAATAATTATATAATAGTATGCAATTAAAACATCAAATCATTTTTAAGATTATTAAACATCACCTTTATTTTCATTGTCATTCGTATTTACACAGGCTGTACAAAGATTTGAAATTAATAACCATTTTCTAATATTGTTTAGCGAACAACCTTTAAAGATCGTCAGAAAAGGTTTAAGCGATATCCAACTTTATGTTATCATCAACATGTAACCAATCGCGTTTAGTAGGTATGTTGGTAAGATTATCATTACAGTATTATAATTTAGCCATCATAATTTTTTTTTTTTTTTAATTATCCTCATTAGAAAAACGCACAAACTATATACCCTACACAAACATTACAATACAAGTGGTGGCACTATCATAAACTTTTGCCGAAGCACACCAACATTGGCGGTACCGGCGTCTGAAATCTGTTTTTGCATAGCGGACCGGAAATACAATTATACCGGTAATTTATAAAATCACAACAACACTAACGGGTAAGGCTTCTAATGTGCTTGTTATTTTTATTCAAATGCTCAGTACTTTATTACAAATGTAAAAAGCGTTTTAATTTAAGTGGCCAGTGGCCTTGAAATGACAGGCAGACCAATCGGAGCAATTAATTTTGTTGGCCAATCTTACAATATTCATTTTTTCGGCAAACAAAGGGGAGGGGTACTGGGGAAAATTATCTGGGGAGGGAACTGAAAATATTATCTGGGGAATGCCCCCCCTCCTTCCCGGTAGTGCCGCCACTGCACAACAAATTGCCAATTCCAATCAAACTCAGATTGATAGATTTCCATCTTCATGAAAACAAAAATGAATGCTAATGCTTTTATATCAAAACCGATTCATTCTAACGGAAAAGCTAATTACTAATCACCTTTGAGGTAAAAATGGTTGGAGGGGGTAGAGGATAGGCTTAGCTATCGAATCGGCTACTTCAGAAAAAGAAAAGGAACCCACCACCATCATCAACATCATCATGATTACCACCATCATCATCATCATCGTCATCATGATCACCGGCATTATGATCATCACATCGTCGTCCGTGTCGCCGTCGTCATCATCACCATTATTATATTTATCATATAAACATTAGCAATAACCACAACAAGTAACAACAATAACAATGATATTCTATTTAATTCGAAATTTCCAATTTCATAAACACAAAAAGCCACGTATGCTTGCGAAAAACCATAGCAACAGGCCCTAGCAACAATTACAGCAATTATAACAATAGCAACAATAACAACATTAATATAATAAAAACAGCATTAATAATAATAACAACAATAAACAATGGAATAATTCAAATGAATTCGTAATTTATTTCAAATGTCGTAAACAGTAAAAGCAACACTGCACATCATTGAATGATAATCACTTCTTTAAAAAAAAATTAAACGTATATAATTATGATTCAGATGCAACATGGGCCTTATTAAATCTGTTAACAATTGTGTCCAATTGCGTAATATAATTAAACAGTTGACAAGTGAATATACTTTTGTGGTGCTATTGCCTCCTATCTGTACTGATTAGCCTATTTACTTGTTTAACTTTACTCAAATACAACTGGAAAATGTACTGTTAAACGCGTAGAAAAAACATTAAAACTATATTACTTGTATAGAACTAATTAACATGTGTTACATTTTGAATGTCGTACACCACAATGAAATATTGACATAAAAGAAAGACAGAAAAACACACTTGTAGATGATCCTTAAAACCGGGAACTTGAAAAACAAAATTTACAATTAAATATTTGTAGGACCAAGTCAAGTTGATTTTTCTTGCACGTTTCATTCATTTTGTTTATTTCGTCAAACCAATATAACAATACAAACCAACAATTACCACATACCTAAAATAGGAGCTGGGATAAACACCAAATTAAATTGCTTTATAAGTTTCTCCGCTGATTTAGGGTAATAAAATACATGAAATAAATAAGCTGTATCTATGTTCTATAAGAGTTATAAAAATTTGAAAATATTGATATTAATAAATTATTCGCAGCCTAGGGCAGTGCAGCACGGACAGAAGCAATGAACAAAGGCAATAGCAACGCTGGCAGCAGCGCGGATTATAGAAAGGAAATATTTCTTTAAAACCATGATTTTCAACCAAGACAATTTTTCCAAAAAATAGGCATAATTTGTTTTCGGTTAATTCATTTTATGTTCTATAATAGAGTTAATTAAATTTTAAAATTAATTAATTAAAAAAAATGAAGAGATTAATTTCTTAAATGTAGTGGTGTAAGCGTCTTGATTAGGGGGAATGACAGGGGGTTGGGAGCTAAAGTGAAGTGGGTGAATCGATGATTAAGTGAGGAGGCGCTAACTCGCAAAATAGAGTGCTTGGAGGTGATTTTGAACTACTTTAAGATTGTTATCCTATATGGATATTTTAAGACAAAAACTGACAAGAGCTTAAGCGCGATTTTTTTGGGTGGGGGAGACCCGGGGCGACTAGGGGAGCAAGTATTTTGTTTGGGTGGGGAGGGGCGCACCCCACTGAATACGCCACTGCTTAAATGTAATAAGGCCATACTTTTCGCATTTCACACGTTGGTGCATACGGGGTTGGGGGGACGTGGGCGAGTATTTTTTTTGGGGAGGGGGATATTGCACCACCGGGCATCTCCATGGATACGCCACTGCCTAAGTGTAATAAGGCCGTTCTTTTTCCTTCCTTTCTTTGCAACCTGAAGAAATTATTGCGACGAGCCAAACTACTAGTGCAACTCCAGAAACAACTGCACTAGCAATGGCCGTCCCAATGGCCACTTCCTGCATTTGTTTACTCTCCGCCTTTCCGTGGCACCAACGTGCGAAATGCTCACAGTTGTTGAAGAAGACATCGTATTTGCGATCTCTAAAATCACTATCTTCTGCACTCTCCGCCCGTTTGACGACTTCTGTACGGCTTACGTCATTCGGACATGGGATAACTTCAAAATCATTTTCAGATTCATCATCAGAGTCATCATAATATAGGAATTCTTTCAAGGTCACACGATGGACGTAAGCTTTCTTTTTTTCGTTGAGCCGACGGACTAAAGCTGAACCTTTTCTTTTTTCTCTGCATGCCGGTGCAGAGAGATGAATTACCTCACTATAACCAACATAAACTCCTACCAATTGATGCAAAAAAAACAAAAAAAAATATTTATAATTAATTATAATTATATTATCAGTGGCGGCGGCACCAGCAGCAGTAGTAAAATATACATTTTAATATTGCTCTTCTTACCATAATGACAGTATGGAATTGGGTGCCGTTTGACCTTAACAATGTCACCTGCTTGAGGTTTCTTTCGAGACATCTTTTGATGACGATGCTATGGATGAGTGGGAACTACCGATATCTAAAAATAGAATAGATAGCATTCAGGTATTATTACATTCATGCTTTATATATCGAATGATGAATTACTACGAGCCTATGTGCTTACCATGACAATGCAAGCCCGTAGGCAGGATTTCAAAGGGGAGGGGGAAGGCGGGGTTCTAATTTTTCACAAAAAGTCCTTACCCATTTTCGCCCCACCATGGCTGGGGTAAAGTTTAAAGATATAACAACTCAGATGTCTGGAAATTGCAAATAAAATTGCCAAATTAAAAATATTTGTAGTTAATTTCAGTAACTTTCATGCAAATGGTACTTTTTAATAATAATTTGAAAAAGGGCATTTCTGGAAAAGAGGTGTTTGAACCCCTCGAACACCCCTAACTACGGGCTTCACAATTGAGCTTGCCAGAGTGTCAATCATGAACTGACCAATCTGCACAGGGCCAGGAGAAATGACGAGCCTGTCTCTTATACACATCTATGATCCTTAAAACCGGGAACTTGAAAAACAAAATTTACAATTAAATATTTGTAGGACCAAGTCAAGTTGATTTTTCTTGCACGTTTCATTCATTTTGTTTATTTCGTCAAACCAATATAACAATACAAACCAACAATTACCACATACCTAAAATAGGAGCTGGGATAAACACCAAATTAAATTGCTTTATAAGTTTCTCCGCTGATTTAGGGTAATAAAATACATGAAATAAATAAGCTGTATCTATGTTCTATAAGAGTTATAAAAATTTGAAAATATTGATATTAATAAATTATTCGCAGCCTACTAGTTCTCTTTATGCTAACCACATTTAAACTCTAATTTAACGAAAACAATGAGATACTTAATTAGGCCATTTTTTAAAATAAAGTTGTCTGAAGGTTAACTACAGTAACTACAGTACACTGTAGTTAATGTGTTATAGGTAGTAAAACTGTATTGAGTAAAAAAATGTATTTTAATCTGAGAGTGCCATTCCCGGCCATCTTGAGGTGCCATAATCATAATAACAACAGTTGTGGGGCTGAGGCGGGTGGACATTCTATTTACGCAAGACTCTCTCTGGAACCCCTCTATTTCGACTTTGTGGACCCGCCACAGTTGGAGTATCATTTCCGAGCTTAGCTTATAGAAGGGTAATTTTTATCCATCGGGGGAAAAGGAGGCTAAATTGTTCATTTTTTTTATGGAGATTATAAGGAAAATTATATTCAAATTTTAAGTCTAAGATGTAATAATCACAAATTTTCTTGCCTCAGCCCCAACCATGGTGGAGCTGATGTGGTATAGATTCTCCATCTTCTGAAGTACCCAGTGGCGGATTCAAGGGAACCCAGACGGCCCGCCCCGCCCTCCTAAATTGTTCAATAAAAAAAAATGGGAGATATAAAGATGATTATTCAAATTTTATGTCTGGAAGTGCAATTTCCGGCCATCTAGACGTGCCATAATCACAAATTTTCTTACCTCAGCCCCAACCATGTTGGGGCTTAGGTAGTACAGATCTTCTATCTGTCAAAGTACCCTCCCTGGGCCCTTCTATTTCGAATTCCTGGATCCGGCACTGGAAATTACAACAAATATGAAAATCATATTACAGTAGCTTGATGCCTATAAAATAACTTGTAAAATTCACCAAACTTCGTAAAATATCTTCTCCCCCTGGACCCCCACCGGGGGCCCTTGGCGGCCCCCCCAGCCTAGATGCTCGCTTCGCTCGCATACTCGACCTCATTAAATGCCCCCCCCCCACTTTCAAAAACGTTCCGCCGCCGTTGCCTCTTAACAACGTCGGACCAACAGTTGAACCAACCTCCATTTCAAACGTTTACCGACGTCGGGCCAATAGCGTACTGTGACGTTGCGACTACGTCTATAATCACATCTAATATTTACAACCTCTAACCAACGTCGGCCAAACGGTTGTATATATATAATTATAGACGTCGCAACGTCAAAGTACCTTGTTGGCCCGACATCGGTAAACGTTTGAAATAGATGTTGGGTATCACCTTCGGCAACGGCGGCGGAACGTTTTTGAAAGTGGGGGGGGGGGGGGGGGGGGGGTGACCATTTCATAAGGTCCAGTATGCGAGCATGTAGGCTGGGGCCAGGGAGCCGGCCGCCAAGGGCCCCGGTGGGGGTCCAGGTGAAGCTACGGATATTTTACGGAGTTTGGTGAATTTTATAAGTTATTTTATAGGCATCAAACTACTGTAATATGATTACATACTTGTTATAATTTCCAGTGGCGGATCCTGGAATTCTAAATAGAAGGGCCCAGGGTGGGTACTTTCACAGATTGAAGATCTATACCACCTCAGCCCCAACATGGCTGGGGCTCAGGTAAGAAAATTTGTGATTATGGCACCTAGCTAGATGGCGGAAATTGTACATAGCCTATCAGTCACAAATGATTAATTCCTAATGTCAAGCGAAAGATTTTTTTATTCGAAAGAATTTGCTTTTACTCGATAAAGTGGTTATATTACGCTAGTTTGAAGGTTTACTGTAAGCCAGTCAGTTACACTTACTATACATATTCATGGTTAGCATACAGAGAACTAGAACGTCGCTCCATTAAGAGTGCCTACCTCCCCCTCCCCCCATATGCCTAAATACAGAATTCACGAATGCAGGTGATTTTTTTCTTTTTGCTCGATGGTGGGTTTCAAGGAAACTTTGCAGACGCACGTATACAGACGTCAATCAACATTTGGTTAAAAAATAAAAAAATCTATATTTTATAATAATAATAGGTCAATTTATAAGACGCATATAAACAAGGTGTAAGCACGAAATAATAATAATAATAATAATAATAATAGGCCCAATAATAATAATAATAATAATAATAATAGGCCTAATAATAATAATAATAATGACATTGCAGCGTTCGTAAAATATTTGTCACTAGTGCTGGAAACAGTCAAAAAAGTGGGGAGGCCAGGCCCCCCCCCCTCTAGAAAAAGTGGGTGGGCCAATGTTCCCCTGCTCC